GTCGTGGAGTCCTCATACCATAGACATGCCGACGCAAGTGGCAGCTTTCGAAGCTCTAAGAAGGTCGTCTCCAGCACGCAGGATGAATCGCTTTAAATTGCCGAAGCATTGCGGGGAGGAAAGGCCACTTCATGGAAACACGCCCTTTGAGCAAAATGGTTCACGGCGGTTGCGGATGCATGTGCCATGCAATGGTGATGATGTGCATGATTTTGCATCAGTGACAGGTTTGCACTCAGCTCGAGTACAAAATTGTCATAGCCCACCCTTGTTTTTCAAAGAACTAAACGTCAAAACATTTGAGGATGGTCTCAGTAAAGTCACTGATGAGTTAACTGTTTCTTCAGATTGCAATGTTCCCCAAACTACATACAGTTTACAGAATTTCGAAAATATAGTTAAGATTGAAAAAGTAAATGAAGTGATGTCTTGTACTTCAGATCCATCACCTGATGCAGATGGAAATGAATCGTTCGTTGCCGATGGAACGCCACCAGATGGCACTGACGACTGGCATTCTCCACCAGTCCTGGCTGCCACGACTCCACATGCTGGAGGCTCCGGTGTTGTAGGTGATGACGCATCTATATCATTCACTACAGATGGTACTGATCAAAGCAATACATTAGGACTAATAAATAACTCAAAGGATTCTAACAGTGATGTAAAGCAATGTGTGTGTACTATCACTGAAATAAATGTTAAGTACAATTATTCGTCACGTCTGGTTAACAGTGAAAACAATATGAATGCCGAGGATCACTGTCGTGAAAGTAGCAGTAATCTCTGTAATAAAACTGGTGAAGCAGAAATTTGTGTGATCAAAGACATGATAACAATTAATGCTGACACTCCAGCTCCCCTTAGTGTGAGTTGTAACGTGAGCAGAAAGTGTAAAGTCAACGCCAATGCTGATAGAGAAATTAATTCAACCGAGGCAATTTGTACTGAGAAAGCTGAAGGATCAGTCTCACTTGTGAACACAGCTAACAACGGAAGAGGTTGATGTTTCACCAGATACAGAAAATGAGGAATCGGCAATTGATAATGAAAGTAATGAGGCAAGACAAATTAGCGATAAAATAGTATGTGATGAAGATAATGATTTATTGGACTAAATGTTACTGATAATACTGCAGGTGAAACACTTGTTGAAATGCGGGAAGAAAATGAGGCAGTAGTTGAAGAGCACAGGGTGTTGGGCGATTCATCGTCACCAAGTGGCGATGATGAAATGCAAGTTGATACATTAACAACCAATATTCCGGGACAAGTTGATGTTTTCAGATAATTCATCGCCACTAGACGAATTTGAGGAGTCAAAAAATGGAAATTTACAAGTGGTTGATGATGAAGGAAGCAAGAAGCTGATCAATACAACAGATGAAACTGTAGACGTTTTGCCAACAGAAAACAGCGTTAAGCAAATTGCAATCGATCGTTCGTCAGAAATTGCTGAAGATGATGCAAGAAGCAAAAGCTTGGACACTTCAACAGTAACAGATATCCCTGTTAAAGGAACAAGCGAGGACGATCCAAATGACTTACCGAAGGGCGAGTGTGGGCTTCATGCACCTGTACCAAGTACTACAGAAGACAGTGTATACAGTTTCGATGATCAGAGAGAGAAGTTACCTCTTTCACTAAATGAAAATTCAACAGATAAAACGCATGAAGATAATGACAAAACACATGGTATTATTGATACAATAGCTACTCAAAGGACAATAAACATGCATCCCGAAGATGCATCCGAAACTACCATACTTTGTAATTCATTGATGAATAAAACGCACGATATTGAACCTAGTTGCCAAACACCAGTCGATTCACAAAGGATGAGTTGTGAAAATGAAAACAAAGAAATTTCTTCTGATAAGCGCAGCACATTTGAAATGAATTACAAATTCACTCAGAAAGAAAACTGTGGATGTACCTTTGAAAGACGCAAGCAAAAGCATGGATATAAAGAATGCTGACAGTTCTCTGTTTTTCGTAAGTAGTGAGACGGTTAATAGCAACCTAGCAGGCTCCTCAGAGGATCATGCACACCCTGGAAATCCCACGAAAAGCGTAAATAACTCTGGGTCGGTTGTTTCCAGTGACAAATATGTAGATGAAGGAACATTTGATAATTGCCTTTCAAAACCGGCCTCTGCATTTGGAGGATACGAGTGCAGTGACTTTGCTAATGACATCAAAGTGTCGGACATGTCGCAAGAAGTTGATGCTATGACTTTTCAGGGTTTGAGTGATGTGTCTGCATTAGAAGCGATGGGAGGAGAATGGTCACCCGGCGGTAGTTTTCCAGTCTTGACAAGTCAACTATCTTTAGCTGTAAATTATAGGGAAAGTGATAGTTCTACCTTACGTAATGCATATAGTACCCCATCAAAGACCAGCCATAATATTTCTGAATCCGGTAACAGGTTCCTAGACTTGGAAGAGCAAACTTGGAATCCAAAGTCTGTATTAGCAGAATTTAGATCCAGGAGTGCATCACCAACAGAAGTTAGATCCAGGAGTGCATCACCAACAGAAGTTAGATCCAGAGTGCATCCAACAGAAGTTAGATCCACGAGTGCATCACCAACAGAAGTTAGATCCAGGAGTGCATCACCAACAGAAGTTAGATCCACGAGTGCATCACCAACAGAAGTTAGATCCACGAGTGCATCACCAACAGAAGTTAGATCCACGAGTGCATCACCAACAGAAGTTAGATCCAGGAGTGCATCGCCAACAGAAGTTAGATCCAGGAGTGCATCACCAACAGAAGTTAGATCCAGGAGTGCATCGCCAACAGAAGTTAGATCCACGAGTGCATCACCAACAGAAGTTAGATCCACGAGTGCATCACCAACAGAAGTTAGATCCACGAGTGCATCACCAACAGAAGTTAGATCCACGAGTGCATCACCAACAGAAGTTAGATCCAGGAGTGCATCGCCAACAGAAGTTAGATCCACGAGTGCATCACCAACAGAAGTTAGATCCAGGAGTGCATCACCAACAGAAGTTAGATCCAGGAGTGCATCGCCAACAGAAGTTAGATCCACGAGTGCATCACCAACAGAAGTTAGATCCACGAGTGCATCACCAACAGAAGTTAGATCCACGAGTGCATCACCAACAGAAGTTAGATCCACGAGTGCATCACCAACAGAAGTTAGATCCACGAGTGCATCACCAACAGAAGTTAGATCCAGGAGTGCATCACCAACAGAAGTTAGATCCACGAGTGCATCACCAACAGAAGTTAGATCCACGAGTGCATCACCAACAGAAGTTAGATCCACGAGTGCATCACCAACAGAAGTTAGATCCACGAGTGCATCACCAACAGAAGTTAGATCCACGAGTGCATCACCAACAGAAGTTAGATCCACGAGTGCATCACCAACAGAAGTTAGATCCACGAGTGCATCACCAACAGAAGTTAGATCCACGAGTGCATCACCAACAGAAGTTAGATCCAGGAGTGCATCACCAACAGAAGTTAGATCCAGGAGTGCATCACCAACAGAAGTTAGATCCACGAGTGCATCACCAACAGAAGTTAGATCCACGAGTGCATCACCAACAGAAGTTAGATCCACGAGTGCATCACCAACAGAAGTTAGATCCACGAGTGCATCACCAACAGAAGTTAGATCCAGGAGTGCATCACCAACAGAAGTTAGATCCAGGAGTGCATCACCAACAAAAGGTAGATCATGGAACACATCGATGCAAAATTCCATGCATATATTACCTTCACTTAAAAGGACTCTGGGGGGAGAAGACTATGGGTGCCATGGAATTTCAAAATCACAAAATGAGAGTCAAGAAAACATTTCTTCAAGCGATCCTGGTCTGGAACCTTTTGACCCGTCACCAAGCAGGAAGAGATTAAAGACAATCGCTTCGCCTGTAGACGCACCTGATGTGAAAGTATTAAAAGCTACTGAATTTCCATCCAGTGAGCCGTCTCAGTCGTTGAAAAGGCTCCAAAGTGCATCTTCGGCTGTTGAGATGGGGACGAAACGCCTAAGGTTGGATGTGGCGGTAAATGCTTCAGAGAATTCGAGCGCTTTGTGGCCAAGGGAAAAACTCGGCCAGTGTAATCCTGTAATTGCAACTCTTGCTGCAATAATGGAAAAATACAAAAATGGACGAAATGAACAAAAGTGCCTCTCAAATACTGCCAGAAAATCAAAGAAATTGCCTCATTGTACTATTATCACAAGATCAATAGCAAGGCTCATCTTAAAGAGATCTGCAAATCATAATCAGATTCATGTTTCTCAGAAAAAGGTTAGTAATTCGTAATGGTCCGCATTTTTCATAGTATTGTTGCAAATATCAGTTATAAAAGGCATATCAATATTTTACTTTCATAAGGCTCCTACAAGATTACAGTGGCGAAGCAAAACGAAGTTATAAACTAAAACTTTTTTTATCATCACAGATGGAAGTATTCACAGCTGCAGCAGACGGAGATCTGAAGAAGGTTCAGAAAATGATCCAAGACACAGGACCTGCCTTGAGGGAAGATCAGACTGACTTCACGCTCCTTCACGCCGCTGCTGCCAATAACCAACCAGACGTAGCATTGTTCCTCTTGAAGCTGATCAACCCTAATATAACCAACAACCAGGGCCAGACGCCTGCTCACGTAGCTGCCATGAGGGGGCATACGCAAGTGCTGAGGATTTTGTTATCCGACGAAGAAATGAACCATGAAAAGAAGGATAACTTCAGGATGACGTATAAAGACCTGGTAATTATCAATTTGCTGCGCTAATATACAAAGCCTTCACATCTTTGGATATTGTAAATTAGGAGCATAATGTGCATTATTTCTTTTCTCTTCGATAATTGTTGCTGTTCCCATAAATAGATGTGTGTGCCCCTGATCGAGGCGGTGCTGCAGGGCAACATCGCCATGGCTCATGAGGCGCTGCAGCTGGGTGCTGACCCTGACTGCTACATTGGCCACTTGATGAAAGATGCAGTGAAAGTGAACTGCGCTTTGACACTCCTCGTCAACTTGCCCATAAAACCAACCAAGAACACATCATAAACCTCTTTAGCCAGGTAATTCCTATTTGTGTGATAGAAATATTGTGTATAAATGAAAAAATATATCTATATTTCTAATGTATACTACGATGCATATTGCTCATACATTCTCGTCCTTGCAGACATACGGCAAAATGATTTCAAGAAACACTACAACACAGAATCGTGCTGTAGTACCCTTGTGGAATACCAAGGACCAACTCCTGGTGAGAAAAAAACACTCTTTCATTGACGATTGTCTCGGCATGCAACATCAGTATTTATGAACATCTAGTCATTTGCTAAAAACATAATTTGTCCATTCCTTTTACAGAGAAAACCGTCAATTCCTACTGTAGCAGCAGTAGATCCTGTCGCGAGAAACGTTTACAGGATGGGTTCAAATCGTAGAGGTTTTGTGTGCATCCTTAACTACAACTCGTTTTGTGGTCGCCCAGATCTGAGTCTCAAGGACGCG